AATTATTTTTAATCCATTTTCAAATTATTTCAAATTTCTTAAATATCCATGATATCGGCATCAGCTCTCAAAAAACCCATATCGGTCGACCACTAGTCACAATACTGTACTGTAAATGTTGCAGTAAAAACTGTCACTGTTAACAGGAAAATGCTGAAGGTATTACGTATAGCGAAGTTGCTCATTTACTTTATTTAATAAAACAAGTTTCTTGTCCAGGTTTTTTTTTTTTTTTTTAAATATAATTGTTTCTGTATCAATACTCTCATCAGTGTTATACCAGCGTTTACATACTTCAGTCTGCATAGTTGTGATATTTACTCCATGGCCATTATTTACCTTTACCATTTTAACCTTATTAAGTGTATGAATCATTCTAAATGTCAATGTCTTATATTTAGTCAATACATTCAATTATAATATGACACTGTGGGGCTTTTACAAGTCAATTTACACTGCAAAATTACGAAAGATGTTACGAGATTAATGTTTCAAATACATTTTTAAATGTACTAATAAGAAATGTTGGAAGAAATTCAATGTTGTCAATATTACACTGTACTCTGTCAGTGATGTAAACTACGATCATTGAAAATGCACAAGACTGAACTTCATCTATATGGATTATATCAATTTTAACATCACGAACTGACACACTATGAGTGAGTGGAATGAGTTCTTAAACACAAGAGATCTTTTTTGTGTGTGTAGCCTATAGAAACAAACAGCTGGTGCTATGAACAAAGGATTTTACTCATTAGTATTATGACAAATACATGTAAGATCCAGACTTTTTCAAAGGAAAACATAAACCGACACAACAATGCGGGGGTGTGTTAAACAAGAACACACACAGACATAAATTTAACCAACATGAGTGAGATGAGTGCATGTAACAGCGTCCGTCCGAGCGCCATATGTGTGTGAGAAAGGCTGGAGCGGCCCCCACACCCACAGCTCCATCTGCTCCTGCATGCTGGTCCGCAGGGGGTGGGGATGCACGGCGGAGTGTATGAATCATTCTAAATGTCAATGTCTTATATTTAGTCAATGCATTCAATTATAATATGACACTGTGGGGCTTTTACAAGTCAATTTACACTGCAAAATTACAACTGCGAAAGATGTTACGAGATTAATGTTTCAAATACATTTTTAAATGTACTAATAAGAAATGTTGGAAGAAATTCAATGTTGTCAATATTACACTGTACTCTGTCAGTGATGTAAACTACGATCATTGAAAATGCACAAGACTGAACTTCATCTATATGGATTATATCAATTTTAACATCACGAACTGACACACTATGAGTGAGTGGAATGAGTTCTTAAACACAAGAGATCTTTTTTGTGTGTGTAGCCTATAGAAACAAACAGCTGGTGCTATGAACAAAGGATTTTACTCATTAGTATTATGACAAATACATGTAAGATCCAGACTTTTTCAAAGGAAAACATAAACCGACACAACAATGCGGGGGTGTGTTAAACAAGAACACACACAGACATAAATTTAACCAACATGAGTGAGATGAGTGCATGTAACAGCGTCCGTCCGAGCGCCATATGTGTGTGAGAAAGGCTGGAGCGGCCCCCACACCCACAGCTCCATCTGCTCCTGCATGCTGGTCCGCAGGGGGTGGGGATGCACGGCGGCTGGCTGCTTCAAACATTTGTGTTTGTACAAGCATATTCATGTTCTAGTGAAGAACACTACTGGCCTTTTAGAAAACCCGTAGATGTCTAAATATAGATGGGTGAAATTTCAGCCAAAAATCAATAGTCATAATCTTCACTCAAAGCCAACTCCATTGTAGCACACGAGAGTGAGCCTCAAATGGACAGAAAAAACACATTTCTTTTAAAATCGCCCTGTTTGTTAAGATTCCTTGTAAGGCCTCTTATTACATCATTTCCATGATGACGATTCCCATCCGAGTATTATAACCGTACTCATTAATATTCCTAAAATAAAGACACTGCCACCACCATTGTGTATGAATAAATGTACATAATGTTTGGGTGTGACAGTAACGAGGCCGTGTGACAGGAACAGGGGAATCTAACGAAGGGGCGGGGTGAGGCTGTTGTGAAGACGGTAATTAAGGGTTGGAGAGTTGACTTTGTTCCTGCTGGAGTGCTCGGGGGGCATGCAGGGGTAAGGAAAGGAAAAGCCCAACCCTCTCCATTGTGGCTCAGACAGAAGCAGAGAGAGGAAGGGAGGGGGTGGGTGGAACAGAGAGAGCAGAGGAGGAGATGATGTCACCTCTGCTCCTCCACCAATCAGAGCTGGCGCTGGGGAGGGCAGAGAGGCAGAAGGGTGTGTTTCCCTCACTGCAGCATCCCAGCAGCCCTCACCCAGCGCATGGGATGAGCAGAGAGAAAGAGAAAGACACAGAGGAGACGGAGAACAAGGCGTGTCACCAGAGCCCAAAACCCAAAACCTTTACTCTGTCTGTGGAGGTAAGAGTCTTTGATCATTTCACAGATGTGTTTTGTGTGTGTGTGTGTGTGTGTGTGTGTGTGTGTGTGGGAAATACCTTGGTGATAAGATGCCAAACACAGCCTGAACACACCTTGCCTTGTGTGTGTGTGTGTGTGTGTGTGTGTGTGAAGGAGCTCGGTAGATTAAAGTCTTGTGCGCTTGGAGATCAGAAATAAAAGGGTGTTTCCATCATTGCAGCGTGTCATTAGTATGTCCAATAATTACGAACAATTGGAAATCATTTTGATAGAATCATTCAGAATAGTTCATCATTTTAAACATTGTTACACAAGTATTAATGTAAAAGCAGGATTATTTCTATTCTATTAAATTCTTGGGAGCAGTTTGCTGAAGAGTAAGGCATCGCAGCTTATTTGTTTGATGTGTAATGCAGTCTGGTGTCAGTCTGACGCGCCTCCTGCTGCTGCGTAACGGCCCTCTTGAAGAACATGAGCTAAAATAACATCACATAAGTCTGAGTGAAAGATGTGCTTTATGTATCTTAAAAATTCAGTGTTCTTTTAGCAATGCTCTCTGCTTTTTAGCTGTGTGAGTGTGTGTGTGTGTGTGTGTGTGTGTGTGTGTGTGTCGCTAGCAGGTGAACGGGCTCAGCCATTGTTTCTTCATGTGGCGTGGTTGTTATGATGTAGAACTATATATGTAAATTGATAATAATCTATTAGTAATAATCTATTTCTAAATGAAATTCCCCAGGATTAACTAAATTTCACTTTGATTTCACTGTCCTCAATTATAATATGGCAAAATGCTGAATCATAAGCATGTCATCACATAACTAAATACTGCACAATAAATACATATGCCACTATACTTTGTTTAGTTACCAATTATACTTATAATAACAACATTAAATAACATATAATAAAATTAAATAACAGTAAAATACTACAACCACAACAACTGAGGAATGACGGTAGATTTGTCATCTTTCTCTCTCAATCTCTCTGTATTTTAACTTCTTCTGGAAATGTGTGAAGTTTTTTTTCTCTTGCTACTGGATGGTAACACAAAGCTATTCTCACTGTAGTCTGCCATTCATCATTATAGAGGTTCACTTCTGTTTCTGACAAGCCTGGAAATCTGAAGCGCTCCGTATCAGGGCTGCGCAGCTGTAATGACAGAATCATCTGTATCATGCTTGAACCACAAGTGTGCCAAAACTAAATGAAAAGTCTATCTTTAGATTAGATTCGATTAGTTTAATATTACTCTTTACACATTTCTGAGACATGATGCACAATAACAGGAGAGAGCCAGCCCATATCAATTTTTCATTGATAAAGTTCACACTTTTAGTCATATTGCCATCAGACACTCACCGGTGCATTCATTTCAGATGGTCATTAAACTGCTATGTTATCTTTGTGGTGTGTGTGTGTGTGTGTGGTGCTCTTTACAGAAGTGTATCCCATAATGATGGGTGGTCTTGGAATGTTGTGCTAACAGTAGGGTAATAAGACGACCTTCATTTCCTCTCTTGACCACAAAATATCATCTCAACTCTTTTGACGAATGACTACATTGTTTTTAATTGTGTCAATATTTGTGAGTTTTATTCAGTCAAAACAGTTTTGAGGTTAATTGATCAGATTTTTGCCCCTGGAAAATGTGATTTATGCCCTCGGTATATTATGTTGAGTATCAAAGGTTTTTGTGTCTGCTTGTTAATGACGGATTTGTGGACACATTCACGTTGTTAGATTTGTCTTTATTTAGAAGAAAAAAGTTCAAATGAGACTTTTGAGAATGACTTTTAAGATGAGCCATCAGAAATGGCACAGAGGGACCCTAGTGTTGTGTAGGGTTAGATGGATATTTCAGTCATGTTCACATCTTTGATCATTACAACCTAATTAAGTTATTAAATTGGCATTCATAGTGTTGCTATTATAGCATACCTTTCATTAAAATATGGGCACTTAATATGTAAATATGCCTGTTTATAAGTCATAGAATAATATTTTAAAAATAATATTTAAAATAATTATAAAAATTGCATCATAAGTCATTTATACATTCTGTAAACGTTTACCCAGGCCCCTAGCCAGCATATTTTGCTATAACAACTAAATGAGAGAATATTTCTATATATTTCCTATAATAACACATTGGCTGATGCATCATTATTATGCACATACCAAACTTATATCTAAATGTTACAATATGTCACTGCCTTAAGTAATGAGTCATGGAATCATTCAATTTGTTCAAAAGGACTGATTTATTCAGGAATGAAGCAAGTGACTCATGATTTTGTGAATGGGCTATTGAATCATTCACTCAGTCAATTTGTTCAAAATGCAGATTCATTCAGGAACCAAACACCTGTGTCTGGTTCCTGACACTTCTGCTTTGGATTTATTTGGAAATGTTTTCATCATATCCGCTTTTTTTCCCCAAGTCCCGTGACGCTCTGCACAAATTAAGAGTGTAACTTCTGTAAAATTGTAAACAATCAACAAAAGATTTGCTCTATCAAGCAGGTTCAAAAACTGGACATAACGAGGTGAAATTATTGTACTCACCCTTCAACATTCAAACATTAAAAAAACAATTGTGTAAAAGCATTAACAAATTACTTTAAACATTCCATGAATATCTCCAAAAACTGTAGTAATGTGCCCTTATTACTGTAAGAGACTTTGGTCTGTTATCACGCTTCAACTACGCACCATAAGGGGGCGCTAGTGCGCTCAGATGCTGGGTTTAAAAGTCAGGTATGTAGTAGAAGAAGATAGATTTGTTTGGGCAGAAGAAAGCATGGCTTTCCTGCTGCATCGCCACAAGTCAAGCTGTCCTGATTGAGAAACTTTTGGTTGCCGGCTCAATCGAGAAAAAAAAGGACTCAACTGCTTTCTGGGTAATTCATGAAGTGAGAGATCAAATGGATTCCTGTTGATGAACTTTACTGACATCTCTTGTGGATCCAGGTGGATTTGGGGTACAAGGATTAAGAGCAACTTCTTTCAGTGTGAATCACTGGTGGACTATTGTTGGGTGACTTCTCTTCTCACGTTTCTATTGCTCTCCAGATCTTGTCTTTCCTCGATTACAAGGGACACTTTCATGCATTTATGGACAATCCCAAGGTTTTCGCATCCATCGTACTCCTTTTATTTCATTATCTGAATTATAATTATTATTATTTTTCCACCAGACCCACGGACACTGGCTGAGTAACAAAAATATGAACACCACACGAGGGTTAAGCAATATTGTTTGGTTTATGTTTATGGTTCGTTATTGAGCCCTCCCAAAATGTCAGATTTCTAGCAGCCTCTTACCTCGTGCAGTCGGAGGTCTGTTATATTGCGCAACATCCTAAATAAAAAATGTTCATTAACTGCAACACTGAGTGATGATATTTCACATTTCCATCATTTCAACAAATAACAAATATGCTTTAGAAGTTAAAAAGGGACACAATTACATTTTAACACATCCGACTTGAACAAATGAGAGATTCTCAGAGCATTCCGGTGAAATTTTCAGACCAGAAATGTGCAGTATATGTTGTCTTTTTTCATATTGTTACAGCAGAAAACAAAAGAATGCCGCGGCCTGAGAAGAGCTCTTCCAGTGATTTACCACATCACATTAAAATACCAAGCGTTATTATGTTATTCTCCTGACATCTGAAAAGAGAACAAAATGACAGCTCATTCAGTCATTACAGAATTACAGGCAGGTGTGCTTTTTAAGGAATATTACCAGAACAACTGCAGCATTCTTCACAATTCCTTCTCTCATGCTCTGCAGAAGAAAGAAGCATGAAACATGGGTGAACACTTCAAAAATCTATTCTTTTAAGGAGATGACCATTTTTATCTAAGAAAAAAATGTTTAAAAAAAAAAAGTTAAAGGCCTATCTTTTTTCTGATGAATGCTGTCTTTCGTTCAGCAAATTTGATTGACTCAGTCTTCATCTATGTCTGCCTCTGAGTCTGGCCTTTCTCTTTCCACACATCCACTCTTTCACCTCCTCAAACGGAAGGAGTCTTTGTTTTGTTCGTTGACTCATTTACTCTGAATACCAGTGAGCATCTTTCCGTATAAAAACCATCTTCTGCTATTGAAATGTCAGTCAGTGTGTGTCTGGAGAGGCAAGTTCTTTCTGTTATACGCTACAAAATTCCTTTTAAGCTTCCAAACTCTCTTTCTTCTTTTTAGAAAGGTTAGGCTTTCTTTCCGTTCGACTTGTGTAGTAACTGTTGTGAATTACAGACAGTCTTTCTGCATCTTCAGCGCTCGTCTTCAGTCAGCTACACTGCTGCAGCTGTAGACTGTAATGTCTCGACCGCTTCATGGAGTCGTCATTTGAGTTTTTTAATACTCTCACAATGTCTCCGAACTGAACCGAATCAACAACAAACTGTTTACTATTGTTTTTCAGCTGTTTGTATCACTCAATCACTACAGTATTCTCTTGTTCGTCACTGTAAGGCTGCTTTGAAACTATCTGTATTGTATAAAGCACTAGAGAAATAAAGGCGACTTGACCTGAACTCTGCATACATTACATTTACATCACTTTGTGTTATTGTGCATAGTGGTATATGAGTGGGACACGCCTTTCCAGATCACTGCAATCGAAACCGTTACTTCCAGCATTTCTCGGTGCTGTAATTGGAGTTTCTGTTAGAACAGTATAATCTGTAACACTCTTGTTTGCCTTTTTCTGCTGGGACTCTATCATCTCTGTGTGTAATTACACATGGTTTTCAGCATTACAGTCCCACTGCAAAAACTTGATCTGCCCGAGTCGGCCATTCTTTTCCTCTCCATCAAAGCAGAGAGTGTTTGATTGGATCCTGCTTCTCTCCTGCATGGGCCCTTAACCAGCTGGCAGCAAACCATCTGAACTTACTCTAATAATGTGCTCACTCATTGGTTTGAGCCAAACTGACACTGGAAGATTTTATTTATATTTAAATAAAGCACATATATCCATTAATCA